CCCCAAAACCCCAAAACCCCAAAACCCCAAAACCCCGTCAGGTTAGCAATGATGATGTCATTTGAATTATAAATAGTATAAATAAACTACAATGACCGAAGGAAAATATTATTTCAATTAATTCAATTATTGTGAATGTTACTTTTAAGACTTCTCAAGATGCCTCTGGTTGAGCTCATTATTTTCAAAAAGTCTGGTATAAGCGTCATCTGATTCTTAATTTCAAAGCTTGTAGAGCTCATTCTACTAATGGTATGTTATCTTGCCTGTATATTAAAGAAAATGATAGTATAAACAAGTAAAACTGAGATAAAAGCTTGAAAATGCAAGCAATTTCTAGGAATGGGTTAAGCTAGCTAGGACGCTTGATCAAATTGAGGGAAGGGAATAGTGGAAACTTATCAATAAATCTTCTCTGTACGAATACGAGAGGATTGAGGCTAGATACAAAGGAATGCGAGAGATGAGAAAGAAAAATGACATAAGGGGGTTGGTCCATTGCTTGAGATCTGATCTACTCAAGAACTTGGGAGGGATAGCAAATCCAGATCTCTATTCCATCTGCCATGTGGGAACTAAAAGACTCATTGAAAAGTATCATAATGAGGTCATTAAGTGCATCAGGATGATCTACTATTACAGAGGAAGGAAATTGTCTTTACCTTAAAAAGTAGAATTTTTCGCTGAAACCAGACATTCATATGGTAGAACTGCACTATTATTGAGTGGTATATTTTTTTATTTAAGACGTCATCATTAGGCGGTGCAACTTTTGGAAGATTTCATTTCGGAGTCATCAAGGCCCTTCATGAATAAGATCTCCTTCCTAGAATATTGTGTGGATCCTCTGTCGGAAGTATTATAGCCACATATTTTTGCACTAAAAAATACGAGGAACTTGATAGTGTAAGTACAGTATTAAATTCTCCCTTACAAAAATCAAAAAATGATTTGATAGATTCCTTAATCTTTAACGAATTTTTTAATTAAGGCCTAAATAAAATTCTATAGTGCTTTGATCCTATGTTTTTTGTTAACAATCCATTAATCAAATACAAGGTGAACTCATTTACAGAACTAGTGATGAATTTGATAAGGGGGGATGCAATTTTGGACACCTAACATATGAAAGACACTTTAATAAAAAACATTGGAGATGTGACGTTTAAAGAGATTCATGATAAATACAAATGGAATCTAAATATAACAGTAACTGACGAGAAGAAAACTGATGAGACTAGACTTCTGAATTACTTAACAGCCCCTAATGTACTTGTGTGGAGTGCAGTTTGTGCTAGTACAGCCATACCAAGGTTTTATGATCCAGTCGAGCTTATGATAAAGACTGAAAGTGGTTAGATCAGGCCTTATCACCCCAATCTACAAAGAACACGCTATGTTGATGGTTCAATAAGTACAGATCTCCCTATGTAGAGAGTATCAGAATTATTTAATGTAAACACGTTCATTGTCTCTCAAGTAAACCCTCATGTTATACCCTTTGTCTCAGTAGATGGTGGAGGTATTTTACAATCTTAAATGAGGAAAAGGTTCTCAATTACAATAAAGGCATTAGTTGGCAATGAAGTTTAGCATATTATAGAGCAGCTTCAAACTCTTGGTGTTCTTCCTCAGTTTTTATGTAGAATGTCTAATCTTGTCACTCAAAGTTACAAAGGTCATGTAACAATCGTGCCATAGATTAAGCCTAAGCACTATAGAAATTTACTAATTAATCCAACACTTGAAGAATGTCTTGAATCTATGTAGTCTTCTTATAACAGGTCACTCTAAAGTATATAATTTCTTTTCTTTTGACATTATTTAGAGATATCATTGATTAGAGCAGTATTTGGAGTAGAAAGAGAATTCGACAGATACTATATGCGTCTTAAAACCTCCTTAAGAGGAAACATCCCCTATCTTAACGATAAAAACTTGATCGAGTATGCAACTCGTAGAACATTCAATCGTAAAGATGCCTGGGATGAACTTGACAATGAGTTAGAACAATTAGACAACTAAAACAATGAACTTATTTGTTACATCTCTAAGAACCATAAAAACACAATAAACTATGATAAAATGAGAGAAGTGATTTAAGAAAGGCTAGATGAAAAGAAAGAGGATGAGCATGAGCATGTTCTGAGAAATAATGCTAACTTATTCGGATACAATTTGCATCAGCAGTAATAGCATAATCAGGTATAAATCCAATAAAGATCGCATGCTTTGAAAAGAGTCCCTAGAGTAGAATCTATTCAATCAATGCTAAGCGCTTAAAGTCAAGAGTTCTTCGGCTCTGACCTTGAGAATTAGAATATAGTTTCGGCAAGCAATACAAATAATTAATCTAATTGCATCAGCAGCAACTAAATGAATAGTGGCCAGAGACATGATGAATTCTTCTTCACTTCAAATAATATGTAAAGTGATAAACTACTATAAAAAACAAAAGGACTAATCAATAAAAACCCCAATATGCTAAAATTCAATAACCAGCTTCGTAAGAAAAACGAGTAATCAGATAACAGTAGTTTTATGAATGTCTCTGGTAAACTTGATCAATCCAATTAAAATTAAGGTCGCAGAGGCATTAAAAAGAATGATAGCCTTTTCCTGCTCAATGGAGAATTCTTCAACTGAAAATTAAAACTAATAAGTAAGTATCAAATAACATCATGAACTCAAATTCTGACTTAATATCTTAATTTCATAATTCAATTTTTCCCATTCTAACTGGAAAAAGGGGTTTTGGGGTTTTGGGGTTTTGGGGTTTGGTGA